ACTATCAGGTTGATGACATTATCATAGTCGCTTATGCGGAAATTGAGTACTGAAAATAGCCAAGTCCTTAATCTTCCCCGAAGCCACGAGATCTACGGAGTTGGGCTTGGGGGCAGTATGCTAATTTAAGATGAGGGAGGCCTTAGTTTGCTAATGTGAATCAATTAATTCTCCTTTTAGTTCTTTGACTTTGTGGGGCGCTAATTGACTTCAAACTTGGTCATAATGCCGGAATTTGATGTTGACCATGGTGGGCAGTGAGCTCAGCCTCGTCTGCAGTTTTGGACTTATCTCGATAATCTGAGAGCTGACTTGGGAACCGACCTCGGCAAATGCGGCCTCGACTGCAGTTTTGGAATTATCTCGATGATCTGAGAAATGATTTAGGAACCGACCTCGGCGGGCTTGAGCTCGGCTGCAGTTTTGAACTTATCTTGATGATCTGAGAACTGATTTATGAACAGACCTCGTTGGACGAGGGCTTGGCCTCGGCGGGAAATGCTTTAGTATTTTCTAGGGAGCTTTTCTCCGTGAATATACATATACCTCTGGTGTATATGGTAATATACTTCATCAACACTCCTTTCGAATAAAAGTGTGAAATTTAAATCTATTAGTTCAACATATGACTTGATGGATTTTGAAATCTAATGGGTGCCGAAAAGATTTATGGTGAAATATTTTGTATGTAGAAATTCACCGAAATCAATTAAAATTCATCCAAATAAGTAATAATTGAAATCCACTAAATGTTTGAGCACAACATTATTTTCATAGATTCCACAAAAATCTAAATTGAAAACGCCTAAACTCTTACGGAGTTCCAAGCTCCATTAAAATCCTCTAGAATCCATATTGGAGAGACACCCTAAGATCACAGTGTATTGCTATCAAGTTTAACTTGTTTTTATATTAATAGAGCTAAGTTATAAAATTATAACTTTTATCTAGAAAACATATTTCAAATCCTAATAGGTAGCATTATGTTTTATCAAAATATGTTACGTTAACTTTTTAATCAATGTGAAATACGTGGTATATATTTGATCACATCTCAGATGTGGAATTATCCATTTGAGCTCACTTTTATATGATTCAAAAACTAACTTTTTCATAGAGAACGCGTATGTTATGTCACACCCTGGATCACATCCGTGTCACATAGGAAACTGTTGTACAACTAAACGAAGATAACCGCAATTCATCCACATCGAATTGCACAATAATCTGGTTAGTAAACATACTTTAAATCGGATCAATACCAAAGTCAAACATAGTGTAGAATTAAATTTTTTGATAACAAGACACACATGGTGCCATGAACGCTCATGTTCCAAAATGTTTAAATTATTAAAGAGCAATTACATCTTTTGAAATTAGAAAATAATGCAAGAATCTCGTCTTTTGAAATATTGTTTAAATTATTCATGAGCAATTACATCATTTGAAATCAGAAAAAGAAGCGCGAACCACATATTCCTTCATATATGACCACCCGTAGCAAAGGCTTGAAACTGAACTCTAGTCTCAACCTATAAAATAGTGAGGCCCCCATAAGGGGTCAATATTCCAACAAAATAAACTATTGGTGGCACGCAGACTATATGAACTATAACTAATCTTTCAAGTGTAAAATCTAAACATAGGATTATAATAAATAGGGTAATGGGTCAAATAGGTACATGAACTAACTTAAAGTGTCCAATTAGCCCCTTATATAAGAGGTTCTGCCCGACCGTCGCCAATTGGTGTGGTTCCCGGTTGAATTTTTTGATGAATTTTTTTGAATATTTTCTTCATTAAGTCTAGTTTACCCATATCAAATTTCAACTAAAACTTCAACCGGGAAGGCAGTCAAATGATTTTTTGAAGATAACTGCGCAGTTAAAGAGCGCAGTACATTTCGGAAAATCATTTGACTGCCTTCCCGGTTGAATTTTTAGCTGAAATTTGGTATGAGTAAACTAGAATTAATGAAGAAGATGCTTAAAAAATTTCATCAAAAAATTCCACCAAGAACCGCCTCAATTGGCGACGGTCGGGCAGAACCTCCTATATAAGGGGCCAATTGAACACTTTAAGTTAGCTCATGTACCTATTTGACCCTTTAGCCTAATAAATACACTAATGGGAACATAGATTGCCGCTACCTCAATCACAAGCTGATACATATGTTGTATAATAGCCCAACCTTAGGTCATTTTTTTAATCAAAACTTGAGGAGAATATAGTTCTCAAACTTCACCTATTTTCCTTAAGTTCTTAACCATTAAAATGGTGTGAATATAAATTTGTCATCTCACGTGGAAATGGTGTGTGCATAATCTCAGCTTGTTCAATCTCCGTCCGAGCTACAGATTTATTTCAATTAGGGTCTTCTTCTTGAACGAACAAAAATTGCAATGATGGCCTTTTACAAAAACTTCAATTAAAGCTGTTGGAGGTATTGGTCCTACCAAGGCCTCCTTTCCACTTTCTTATTGACTTGCACCCCATGTTTACTCCCACTTTGGCACTTCTCGTTTGAATCTTTCCTAACCTATAATATGGCTATTGCCTTATGTGGAGTGACCCATCTTGAGTTGTCTGCTGCAGTCTTTCCTTGTCTTTGCATCACCCGTGAGTGTCCTCTTGTTGGCAAGCCTATTATTTATGTAGCTCTTCTTCTACCTTGAGAGAGGAGCCTGCGTGAAAAACCAGAGAGAGCAGTGCCCTTCTTCTTCTCCATTTCCTTTGTGTGAGAGTGTGAGAGAGAATACCTTAGTGGTAGAGAAGAAGCTTGGAGTTGTGTTGTGGTCTAGCCTAGAGTGGTGTGTGAGAGTATAGCAAAAGGGTTAGAGACCTGAGCCGGAAAGAAATCGACACCCAACAGTGGTATCAGAGCCTGTGTTGCTGTCGCCGTCGATTTCGCCGGGTTCCGCCGTCTGGAACGTCTTCACCGCCGTCCGCCGCCGTACTCCGCCGTCATCCGCCGCCGTACGCCGTCGTCCGAGGTGCTGGTCGCTGATTGAAGACACTGGAGGTCTTCTCGCGACTCGTCCTCGCCATCTTGTTCACCGTTCGTCGATTACAGAACTCTTGGTTCGTTTGCCGGTGGAACCGTCGACTGGCTGAGAGCCGTCGCCGGAGGTTAGTCCTCATCGTCGCTGGAGATTTCTGGGCCATTCGCCGTCGACTGGAGGTCGTGAACTTCGCCGGCCGTCCATTTCTCTGTCCACTCGTCGCTAGGGAGTCACCGTCCACCATCGAAGTCGCTGTCTGGATCTACGTTCGTTGGCCAGAGCTGTTGCTATCTCTGGAGGTTCTTGACTCCTGTTCGTCGCCAATCGCTGCCATTTGCCGCTGGATTTGCAACTCGTCGCTAGACTGGAGCTGAAAGCAGAAGGCCTTGACGCAGAACGGCAGAAGTAGAGTCTGGGATCGCTGCAGAAGTCAGAACATTTCCCCTTTACCAAGATCCGGATTTGGGCTGCTGGGCTGCTCAACTGTTGAACTTGTTGGACTTTGGGCTGTTTGCTGGAGTAGTGGCTTAAAACTAGACACTGCTGGTGCATCAATCGGACACAGGGATTTGATGCAGGAAGGAACGTAGGTGGTGGAAGCTTGCTGGACTACTTGCTGGTTTTTTGAGCTACTCACTTATTGGGCTGGAGTGGACTTGGAGCACCTGGACTTTTTTAGACTTTGTGTTGGACTTGGAGCTTGCTATTGGGGCTTGACCTGGAGGAGAGAAAAGCCTCGGTCAACTGCTCAGTCAAACTCGGTCAACGCCGGTCAACGGGCAGACAATAGTCAGTCAACAGTCCGAAAAATCCCAATTTTTTTAAAATTGGGTGGGTAAGGTCGAAACGCCTCTCCTAGGGTTTCGCTCCGCTATATTGACTTTTATCCCTTTTATCCCTTTTGTAGTGATTTAATCTTTTATTGTTTAGAAATTATATTTTAGGTTTATTACTGCTGTTAAAATTGATTGAATTGTTGTATTGTGTTGTGCTGAAAATTTATTATTTATTTGTGCTTATACGGAAGAACAAGGGGTTTGAAGTTGAGTTTGGTGCTCATTAATACTCCATGCGTGTTCGTGCTAGTTGCTCCGTATAGTTGTAGCCTTATAAATATTTAAATTGTTTTTCAGCAAAATTTACATTTTATTTTGTTCCTTGTTTTTGTCTGTGAAAATGTCTGCTTATAATCAGTATGGTATGGCTCCATTTAATGGAAAATCTGATTTTAGCATTTGGAAGCAAAAAATTATGTATTTTAATACAACAAAAATGTTTTAAAGCAGTTGGCGAAACCTATTTAATTTCTGACACAAAGGAGAAAAGGGCTGAAATGAATGAAAATGCATGTTCTGTGATTTATTTGAACTTATCTGACTCTGTGATTAGAAAAGTTGGAATTTTAGAAAGTGCTAAAGTTCTTTGGAATAAATTAGATGAACTGTATACCGAAACCTCTTTGCCTAACCGGATATTTTTACTTGAGAAATTCTTCAAATTTAGACTAGATATGTCTATAGATATTGAAGAAAATCTAGATGTTTTTACCAAACTTATTTTGGATATTAAGTTGTGTGGTGATAAGCATATAGATGATTATTCCCCTATTGCTCTTTTTAATGCTATTCCTGATTCCTTTAGTGATGTGAAATCTGCTATTAAGTATGGTAGAGATAATGTGACTCTTGACATTGTGGTAAATGGTCTTAAGAGTAAGGAATTAGATTTAAAACAGATAGGTGAGGGTAGAAAATCCGAGGAAGTTATGCATGTGAGGGGTAGAGAAAATAATAGTAGACGACATAGATCTAAGTCTAGGTCTAATTCGAGGCGTTGCTATTATTGTCACGAATCTGGTCATTTCATAAGAGACTGTCCTAAATCTAGGAAAAATGAGCATAGTGAGCATGCTAATTTGACTACGTGTGAAGATGATTTAGGTGATGTTTTTATGATGAAAAATCTATGTGATTATGACTATTTGAGTTCTGTGCTATCTGATTCTTTGGGTAAATCAGATTGGGTGGTAGATTCTGGTTGTACTTTTCATATGTCCCCTTTGAAAAATGTTTTTTCAAACTATAGAGAGATTGAGCATGGCTTTGTGTCTTTAGCAAATGAGAAGAAATGCAATGTGCTAGGAATAGGAGATGTATGCCTTAGGTTTTCTTCTGGTTATGTGCTTACTTTGAAGAATGTTAGGCATGTTCCTGAGCTGTGTTGTAATTTGCTATCTTGTGCTTCTCTTGAAAATGAGGGTTTGAAGGGAAAATGGGGAAAGGGAATCATGAAAGTTGTGAAGGGTTGTTTAGTTGTTTTCAAAGCTGAGATGAAAAACAACTTGTATGTTTGTCATGCTGAACCCCTACTTGATTCTGTGAATTGTGTGCAACCCTGTGTGCTAGGAAAACAGTCTACAGTTGGTTTTCCTGATCTGCCTAAGTGTACTGATGTGCTTGATTGTATTCATGCTGACTTGTGGGGTCCTTATGGTGTTTCCACTCATGGTGGGAAAAATTATTTTCTGACGTTGATTGATGATTTTTCAAAGAAAGTGTGGGTTTTGTTGATTGAGAATAAATCTGAAGTTTTTGATAAGTTTAAAAACTGGAAAACCCTTGTTGAAAAACAAACCGGTAAGAAAATTAATTTTTTAAGGACCACTGTCAGATTTGATTTCTGTGATAGTCAGCTTGGTGATTTATGTGATACTTAGGGTATTTCTATGCATAAATTTGTTCCCTCCACACCCCAACCGGATGGGGTTGCTGAGAGGATGGTTAGAATTTTATTAGAGAGGGTGAGGGCTATGTTAGCTTCATCTGGGCTCTCTAATAAGTTCTGGGGGGAAGCTATTTGTTATGCTGTTGATTTGATTAATCTGTCCCCGTCTGTTCCCTTAGGAGGGAAATGCCCTGAATCTGTGTTCACGGGCAAACCACTTAACTTTCCAAATTTGAGAGTGTTTGGTTGTGCTGCTTATGTGAATCGTGTGAATGATAAATCTGAACCTAGGACTAAGGAATATGTTTTCTTAGGATATCATGGTTGCATGAAAGGTTATAGGCTTTGGTGTAGGAGTAAAACTTGCTTTAATGTGTTGATGAGTAGAAATGTCATTTTTGTTGAAAATGAATTTCCTTGCCTGCTTGTTTCTCCTGATGTTGCTCCAAATGAGGTGGAGCATTTGCCTGATGTTCATTCCGATTTACTTGTTGAAACCAAACCCAAATTTGTGAATGAAAATGTTTTTCATGGTGAAAATAAAGAAAATAATATTTCTATTAAGGTGGAGCATGATATGAATGTTGTGTGCAATATGCTTGAGTTGCGTGATTGCCATGTTATTAGAGATAGAGACATTAGGAAGCATGTGAGAAATAATATGTGCAATGTGTTTGACTATATTTCCTCTGAGTTTGCTTTAAATGTGCTTAATTCTCTTTTAATTAAAATCTTTGTGATGTTTGGTATGCTATTTTCTTTGTGTTTTGAAAATGTGATACCATGTGATTATGTGAGCTCCGCCTGTGCCAGTTATAGAAATAATATTGTTTCTTTTATTTTCTTTATACTTGCTTTGTGTGGTTGTTGGATTAGTTGGAATCCCCAACTTCTCCCGGATGCTTGCTTGCGTGGTCTATTAACATGTGTTGTGCTTGTTAATAGTTTTGTGATGGTTTTGGTTCTGAACTCGAGGACCGATTGGTAGAGTTCAGTCCATCGTGAATTGTGTTTGCATGGTAAGCTTGGTCCGAAAGGGAACTTTGGTTCTCATCTATTACTTGTATGATCGCAATGATGTACTTGTAATGGTCCGGCGATGATGAGTCTCCTCACAACTTTGTATTGCTACTCTACACCACCTAGGACCAATAAGGTGGAGAATGTTGGAGGTATTGGTCCTACCAAGGCCTCCCTTCCACTTTCTTATTGACTTGCACCCCATGTTTACTCCCACTTTGGCACTTCTCGTTTGAATCTTTCCTAACCTATAATATGGCTATTGCCTTATGTGGAGTGACCCCATCTTGAGTTGTCTGCTGCAGTCTTTCCTTGTCTTTCCATCACCCGTGAGTGTCCTCTTGTTGGCAAGCCTATTATTTATGTAGCTCTTCTTCTACCTTGAGAGAGGAGCCTGCGTGAAAAACCAGAGAGAGCAGTGCCCTTCTTCTTCTCCATTTCCTTTGTGTGAGAGTGTGAGAGAGAATACCTTAGTGGTAGAGAAGAAGCTTGGAGTTGTGTTGTGGTCTAGCCTAGAGTGGTGTGTGAGAGTATAGCAAAACGGTTGGAGACCTGAGCCGGAAAGAAATCGACACCCAACAAAAGCTCAAGTTTAACACAGAAGAGTTCTGTATTAATGCACTATGTTGCTTTTATATTAAACTTTTTAAATAATAATTTTTGATTGGGATAAGGGTGAGTGTGATCGAATGTATTTCAGGTGTTAACTAAAAGTAAATTAAATTACGTTAGCTACTATATATCCTGGTACAAATGCTATGGAATCCATCTACTTTCAACCCGTTCCTATTTCAAATGGTTTTTCACTAAGCTATTTTTACGTTACATTTATGGTCTGTTTGGATTGAGTGATGAGAAGTGTTAGTAATGGAAGTGTTGAAAGGTGTTGTTCTTGACACTTGTTTGGGAGAGAATTATTAAAAAAAATTGGAGTGTTAGTAACTGTTCAAAGGTGTTAAAACTCCAAATTGGGGTGTACGGAAGTGTTTGACAAGTCTTGTCCTTCTATCAAAACTCATATTCAACCGTGACCTTCAGATCAGCCCTAAGAAATTAAAAAATATCTTATCAGTTTAACTCATATTCATTCTTGTTATCGGACTTGCAGATCAACCCATCCATGATGAGTTTTGATTGCCGCAAGTCAAGTTAATAGTCTGAAATTTATTGCCCAAAAATCATTCCTTTGGGGATTATCAAATACGAAAATCTAAGAAAGTAAAAAAATGTCTTTTCAGTTTAACCAACCAAAGGTGCAGAGCAACGATTGATTTTACCTGGTAGAATGAGTTTCAAACGTCAGGCGAAGAAGGCATGATTGGACATAGAGAACTCATTCGAAGAGGCTGAAAGATGTTTTAATTAATCGTTAGTGCAGAAGGGCTGGACTATGCTTGGTGTTTTTTTACTAATGAGTATTAATAATTTAAAAGGTATAAGGATGTTTTTGTCAATTTAAGCGTAAACACTTTCATTACTAACACTTCATTTTTTAAACTCTCCCAAACACGGTAATTTAATACATTACACTTACACTTACCTTTCCTTCTGGACCCCTGCAAACACTTACTAACACTTCCATTACCAACACCTGTCAACACTCCATCCAAACAGACCGTTAGTGTCAAGTCTAGCTTTGATCACGAAATCATCTTAGACTTGAAGTTTTTTGCAAGGATTAAACCCAACTCCAAGCTACTTAGTTCGTGGGTGTTAGAGAATGTCCAGTAGAGTGTTCAAAGCTACTACTCCTTCCGTCTCATTTAAATTTTTAAACTTTCCTTTTTGGGACGGTCCATTTATATCTTTACGTTTCCTTGTTAGGCAAGTCCTTTTGCATTAAATGTATTAACCGCCCTTCACTACCCACACACTTTTTACATTTTAGTGGATAGCATTAACTCTCCCCAAGCTTGCAGGACATTTTTTCTTCTATTAATTGAGCTACTAAAACACCGTGCCAAAAACAAACGTCAAGATTTATCCGAGACGAAGGGAGTAATTTCTATCTTCTATCCAAGATTTGATCACTCATAATGCTCATTTTCTATATTTTCCTCATCGATTTTATTTCATATTTTATTGACTTTTGGGTTAATTGCTTGTTAATTAATTAGATTTTCGATCCTATTTATTAATGGGTGCTAGTCATTAGTTTTGTGTGTTTTCATCAGATTTTAGATATTGAGGATCATCTTGGCGTTGATGGAATCAAAGTCTGGGACCCACATGAGTAGCTCAACGGTTAAAACGATGAGAAAGTTGGAGAATAATCAAGAATTGACACTTGGTGGGATTGTATAGAGTTCACATCACATGTGAACTGGACTGGACCTCTTGCGCACGCATGATATAAGATTCACCACCGTTAGAGTTGGCGAGTTGCTTTAGGCACTATGATTTATGTCCTCTCAAGTGCTCTTTCAAGTCTGGACCCGAGAATCTTTGGGATTGGAGATTGAAACTTTTGCATAATAGAATGGAAGTGCGCGATCAAAAAAGTCAACCCAGGTCAAAATTGAGTCAACCAGCCAGTCGAGCCTCCCCATCGCATCTTTGTGATCTTCTTGTAAACAAGGACCAAACAAGAACTAACGCAGCAGGCAACAGCGCCGGAAATCCATAGGCACACAGAGAAACTTGAGAAGAAGGCGACATCTCTGCCCGTTCCGCCGCCCAGCCACGCCAGATCCGCCCCTCTTCAATCGTCCTCCATGGAAGCCTCGTTACAGAGATATTCGTATGGACCAAGGAGAAGAAGTAGATCTTATCCACCGTCAATCACCATCGCATATCGCAGTCGCCATCGCCGACCGTGCCACCGCTGATACCCCTTCTCTACGGAGGTCGCCGCCTGCTTTCCATCGTTGACCGAACCGAGAGGAAGAAAACGGACCTTCTCCGCGCGCCACAAGAATTGCTCTGCGCACCGATTATTTGACAAACCTGGACAAGCGTATCCTTAGTCAAGCATTAATCACACGCCTGTTATAAATTTTAATGTTGCTAGGCGCACCACTCACACTATTCCGCTTCATACGTTCATACGTAATTACCAAGCAATCAAGCATCTCCCTTCATTCCGTTCATACGTAAATCATTATTGCTTTTTTAAAATAAAAATAGGTTTTAATGCATGTTTCCTAAATTTTTGTGTAACACTGATTATCTTTGGAATACACTCAAATTCCTAATATAATCAGGATTACACTTTCTTACTATCATCAAATAATTATTATATAAATATTTGGAACCCATTATTATTGCTTTTATAAATTTTTTACAATCTTTTTATACAAATGAGGATGAATATGAAAATTATCTTAAAATAAATAGTACTCTTGATTTTCAGACTTATGAGATATTCAATTGCCACACCATCTGTATCTCAGTTTTTCTTTGTAATGTGATTCATTATGTTTCTCGTATACAATATTTGTTAATATTTTGATGGTCATATGTATATTTTTTCACTCATCTTTATATTGAAGAAATATTTTTTTATTCTATTTTCATCTAACAAAGTCAAATTTTGGTAGTTGTATAACACAGATAAAAAAACACCCGCACATAAATAGACATCTAATAGGGTAGACCGGTTCAGACTAGACTAGACTAGAACAAACTTAAATAGAACAAATAAGATAAGATTATACTAGATTAGAGAGGAAGCGGTCCAGCCTAGCTGGTCGTCGACTCACTCTCCCTTGTGGGGGGTTCCGTGTTCAATTCTCAATAGAGTGAGATTGATTCTAGTTTACCCCAGGTCCTCCAAACCCCCCTCTCCCGACGCCCTTGGGATAAAAAGAAATTGTATTAGATTAGAGTAGAATAGTAAATTTTAATTCAATCAAAAACATCCTTATTTGTATTTGTATAATAATAATAAAAAAAAAATTAATATCACCCAATAATTAATTGTTGTCAGACTAATAGGGGTGTTTGGCAAATGGCTGTTGGCTGTTAGCTGTTGGCCGATTGTGTTGGCGGTTTGATTACAACGGATTCTGTTGGCTGTTTTGATTAGCTGATAGTATTAGCCGTTTGTAAACTGGTGTTTGGTTAGATAGCTGTTTACGATCAGCTGATAACTTGTTAAATGACTATTGAGGACATCAATTATTTTTTAATTAATTAATTTTTTATTTAGTTAATTTAATTAATTAATACAATTGCCTAAACCGTTTTTGTAATTTTAAATTGTAAACTTTTGTTTTTTACACCCTTCAAGCAATCACGTACAATTTTTTGTGGGCTTTCTCCATTTGTATATTATTATTAATATTATTATTATTATTATTTTACTCGTTATTATTTATATTGCTATTATTATTATTATTTTAAATAAAAAGTATTAAACCCACAAAACTTCCTGAACCTTTTTCAAATGACTTTCCTGCTACAAAACTTATCGGAGCTAAATGGAAGAAAAGGCTAAACATTTAAACTGGGTTGCTCGTTTTTTTTATTGGCTATCTTTGCTCCCAGCGTAGGATTGTTGGAGAAGTTGTAGAGCTAAAAAAAGAGGCTTCTCTTTGGTGCAAAGGTTTTCCTAGAGTCTGGAGACCATTCCATGTGAAACGGACCAAGAGGAGAAGAGAGCACTGAGTAAAATAGGAATGTTCGGCAGTTTGTTGAACAGCCATTACCAAAACGCCACTTTTGTTGGCATTTTATATTTTGACTGTTTGGAATAAAAAACCAACTAAAAAGCCAATTTATCAAACACTTATATTGGCTGATTAATCTGGTCAAAAGGCTAATAGTGGTCAAATTAGCCAAAAAATGGCTGATCCCCTTGTAACCAAACACCCCCAATAAGTATACTTCAAATTGTAATTGTCTTTTTATAAATTAACGGCTCCTATATATAATTTTAGAATGTCAGTTTAATATCTTTCTTATCCATCCAAAGTTTTTAAATATAAATAAGAATAATTAATTTTTTTCATCATGTTTAAACTTGTATAGTGTAACAGATATTTTCAGTCGATCCTATTTAGGATGTTTTTAATTGAACTGATTTCGAACCAGATAGATTCAAACAAATAAGATTAGATCTGACTAGACTAAATTTAAATTAAAGTAAATATACATTTATCGATCGTTCACGAAACTTGACCATATTTTTTTTAAAAAAATTACATATATAATATTTGTGTCATATGAAAGATCATAAAAAATTATTTAATTTGGTGTAATTTTTATAAAAATTGAAGCAAAAATGAAAAAGTTATGACATTTTATAAAAACGAAAATTATTTGCCACATGGCACCATTTTATTGGATTTAGATTGAATGTAAAATTAATTTATGGGGCAAGCCGTGTGGAGCCGAGCCTAGACTCCTGGAGGTGCGCAAAGCAATTTTAATACGGAGTAATTTTCATTAGTAATAAAGAAGGTCGTAATTGTCACTCCAGGGTTACGTGAAGTAAGGATGGGGTGCGCAAAGCAACCCCGGAAGAAAATTAAGCCGAGTAAACTCTCTCCAGATTGCGTTGCGGGCACTTGCGGGCAGTTGCGCTGATTTAAGGCGATGAAATGACCCAAATACCCCCAACTTATTCTGTTCTCCGTATGATTTTGAGCCCAAATTTTAGTCTGCCTTGTGATCACAATAGAAGCAAGCCAGTAGTCCAAGGCCCATTTATATTTTTTCTCTTCCCGTTTTATTACTTTATTATTGATCTTTTCGTCGACAAATATAGGGCTTCAAACGGAATAGAATAAAAAGGTAGAGGGTAATAGTTTATTTAACATGACATAATAACATGGTACAATTAAGGCACGCACATAAATAAAAATTAAACAAGAGTTGTTGATACTTAGGAGGAATTAAAATAAGATATACTACGGTAATAATTAATGGATCATCAGTTGATGGTTGGGTTTTTCATGGACCAAGCAGTGAGTTTGGTGAGTTGAATGGGCTGGACACCGTTGTTGAATGCAAACAAGTGTCCCTTGTCACCAACAGCCTTTGTGGGATAAACCCTTGACGTAATGCACACCTTTCCTTTTGCACCAAAGCTCTCCACTATCGAATGGTCAATCTGCATTATATATGTATATATATTCAAATTGCGTAAAGGGTACATATATTCCACATATTCATTGCTAATATTGCTCATGTGTGTGTTCATATATTTAATTATGTGGAGTGTAAATCACTCGTCATTATGAAAAAATTAAGAGATATTACCCAAAATGGGACTAAAAAAGTTTGGAAATTCCAAAATAGGACTTCCATGATCCTAAGTAAGTACAACGTGTTGAATTTTACAGTATTCACTTGTTTTACTTTGACTATGTTTTATTAAATTATTTTCAAAAAAATATGTTAAATTTGTCTCAATGTAATTTTCAAATTTTGATCTCTTTAATTTTCGTACTAATAGAGAATAATACGTAATACTACGTATATATTAATGGTCAAAGTTGTGCAATGACAAACATGAAAAGTGTATGGTCGTTGCACTTATTTAAAAAGGAGGGAGTAAAGTTAGTCGAGTAGAATTTAGAATGTGCCTAAAATCTAAATTAAAGTAGAAATCTATGTTGTGTGTGATGAGCGATGCTAGACAAATTTAAGAACATAAATGGACATAAAACATTAAAACTCCGTAATGAGGGGGAATGTTGCAAAGTGATAGAGGGGAGGGAATCACCAATGCCCTGATTGATAACTCTTGCTGCACCGGATTTATATCCACAAATGCACCATAGCTTGTCTTGTCAGTGTTTTTATTTAGCGAAGATCTGACAAAGGCAAAGACATTCAACTAATTAATCAATTTTGCAGTTACATTAATTCATTCACATGCGATATCCCCTGTACACTCTTGTTTGTTTGGTCATCTTTGACTACTAATGATAAACTTTGATAAATCTTTTTAATTAATACGAAGTACATGGTATTCTTTGAAACTAAAAAGTTTTATTCTTCTATGATAATACATATTTAAAAAATCACATTTTTTTTGTTCTCATATAGTGCCAATATTGAGATGTAGGTCTTTAGTTATCAAATACTCAGTATGTAGTATTACCCAATAATTGTGATATTTACAAAACTGAAAACATGAGAACTGCATTTTAATGTGTGTACTATTTGAGGAATTGGAATTACGATTTCCCCTAATTTTAACAAAAAACATTATATATCATTTTCATATTATAAATGGTTTATTAACAGTTAACGTTTAGCATCATTGAATGGAAAAATTAAAGATGACTAACTAAAAATGATCACATGGAGGACTACCTGCTTTGATCGCTGCACATAAGCACGACAAAAGTATTGTTGTTTCCTTTGAAAACTCGAAAGAACACAGCAGTGTATTCTTGGCCATCCTTGGAAGCTAAAACCTTTAAGCCAAACGGGCCTATTCCCCCTCTTATTGATGCTCCCTTCTGACTACATAAATCCTGAGGGTTTGTCCATCCAGACTCCATCTTTTCTGCCTTTCTAAAATCTGATACTCGAAATGTTACTTCAACATCTGCCTGTGAACAATAAATTGGCATAAACTTTAATGAACTATATATGATTATGTTCAACTATAAACTGTAATGAAAATGATGGTGCTTATAATTACTTTAATCTCGTTTTATCTATAACTTATACGAAGTATATTTCAGTATTACTTTAAGAAGAACTTCAACTTAATACGGAGTAGGAGTATTATTTTTTAATTTTACAAATTAAATGCTAATAGCTAAAGCTAAAGCTAATATAATTTGATTTTAAAAGTCAAAACTGTAACTATATTATACTACCTTCTTTGCGGCCCAAATTGATTTGCAAAGTTGATTTTCCTTGATCAAACAATTTCATTTTATTTACTTAATTAGGATGTCATTTTAAAATTATATTCTAATTTGAAGTTTGGAAGTTGGAACTTTGATGAGATTTTACTGTAGTTTTTTATTATATAAATTTTAATTATTAAAAACTGAATTCATTATCAATATGAGGGATTTAACTTTAAGGGAGTGTTTGCAAGTGCTTCTGCTTAAAAAAAGCACTTTTGGAGTGATTGAGAAAAAGTGATAAGTAGTAAAAGTTGATGGTGTTTGAGAAAAAAGTGATTTTGAAAAGTAAAAGTTGGTACTGTTTGGTAAAATAAGTGATTTTTGTGTAATAGAAAAGGGAAAAACACTTTTCACACGCAAGCCGAGAAAAAGCAAAAATTGGTAGTGTTTGGTAAATAAGTGCTTTTAAGCCAAAAGCTGAGAAATGCTTTTTTTCAAACTATTGCAAACACTCCCTAATATTGACTTAAAAAAATGTTGATTTTGCAAATCAATTTGCGACAAAGAATATAAGAATATGTAACACAAGAGTTGATAGTTGATGAAAATTTCATTTAATAATAATATAATGAATACTCAATACTACATATTAATTACTTGTGTGGCTTTGATTCCAGAAACTTCAGTTTGAGAAGACCCTTGCTTGAGCAAAATACTATGCATCTCAACCCTATTCCCGCGCATTGTTTCGATTTCTTGAACAGGCCACTGAACCAGTTGTTTTCTAGTTTTGTCTAGCCAAACACTTCTTGGAATTCCCTGCAAGCATTCAATAATACATTGTAATAATAATAATAATAATAATAATAATAATAATAATAATAATAATAATAATAATAATAATAATGATAGAAATAATTATAATACAGAGTAATGATTAAAATTGACTACAATAATTATTTAATACGAAGTACGTACTAGCTACTCCAACACTTATTAAGAATTTAATTCAATCATAAATTATATTACGTGTGAAATAATTAAAACACGTGTGATTAGTAAAAGAGAAACTACTAGGATATACGAAGTATATTAATTAATTACCTGAACCCCTGACCATCCTTGTTTAACATATTCGGTGCTTGGCAAGGATTCATTTATCCAACCCCAAAGGATTCTCCTGCCCTTTAGGTTGTCATAGAAAGACTTTGAGGCGTAAAACTTACCATAGTCATATCTCAACCCAAAATCACTCTCCACAGATCCCTTGTCCGGGATATACCTATCCCGTGCATGATCGTATGTCCCGATGGTGTAGTATTCGTGCCTTGTGTCATCAAGGCTCACCTTCAACACATGTTTGATCCCCAAACCTAATGATGACGTGTCCAAGCCCGTTGGGCTAGTCGAAACGGGGTAAAAGTCTGGACACTCCCACATCCCTGTTCCTTCAGCTGAATGAAGGGGGTGTTTGGCCTGCACCCAATGAACAAAATCCTTACTCATGTACATGATTGCTAACCCGCGCCGGTCCACTTTACTGCCAATGAGGATTCTCCAATTGCCATCACTGCCTTGCCATGCGGTGGTGGGGTCCCTAAACGACGTCGCATTGATCTTGTTGAAGCGCGTTGGCGCGATCAATGGGTTTCTGGGAGATTTGACCCATTCTTGGAGATATGGGTCAGATGGGTTTTTGGGCACCGCCATGTTTTGGACCTGGCGGTGTCTTGAATCGTGTCCGGTGTATAGCAAGGCAGGCTTACCTCCGGGGAGGATGGTAGCCGAGCCGGACCATGCACCGTTGATGTCAGCCGGTTGAGATGGAGATATTGCAGGGATATGAGCTCTCCAATTTACTAGGTCTTTTGAAGTGGAGTGTCCCCATGATATTTTGCCAAAGTCTGCACCTTTTGGGTTGTATTGATAGAATAAATGGTATACACCTTTGTAAACCATAGGCCCTATAGCGATCAACACCAATGTTAAATTAACATCACCAATTTATAAATAAAAATATAGAAATTTGGGGGATTTACAATTTTGTCATGTAAGTTGGTTATGACCGTTATTAGTCTTACTGTAACTTTTCTCACTTTCAAATTTGGTTCAGTAACTACTACATCTTTGCAATTGAAGAACTTTTTCACTAAAAAGTACTTTAATTTTCGGCATGCATCCGTCATTGGTGTCATCTTTTCCGTTATATTTTTGAGGGAAAATGTGTTTTTCGCAGGAAAGATCCTCAAATTACAAAAAAGTATTAATCATAATGCATATGATTCTAATAAACAACTTACCATTTGGATCTGTAATATTCATAATATAGGTACGATTTGTTATTCGTCATAGAGCGCCGCATCAATGCATCACATGAAAGAAATATAAAATTATTAGCGACAATGCATAAATGTAAGATCACGTTTAATTGGTTGCATGCAAAGGAAAGTACTGAGAGGCAAAGAGTTTGACTCCAACCCACCTATGCGGCTACATGCAAACAAAAGAACTACTGAACTATATATATAGGCACTTTTTTCAAGTTTACATTGATAGGAAACATATATAGTGATAGAGAACTAAACTAAAATTAAAAGCAAGAATTATAAAATACACTTCTAAATAATTACTTCTTCCTTTCAATCTTGTTTTTTAAAGATTGAACGAAGATGAATTAAATTTTAATATATTGGAGACTATGCTAAAATGTATGTGGTCATAAAAACAAAAATTAGAATATCTTTGGAAGGGATTTTGCACATGAATAATTATAATACACTGGGATTGGACATATTATAATACACTTAGCCAAATTTATATGAAGTATATCAAAAGAGGGTTCGGTGCATTATACCCCAAAGATGCATATGAATTTCGTATTGGTCAAAACATGAACATTTTTTGGGCAAAGCTTCTAAGTTACACTATAGTAATATAGTATCCAATGCTAATTATCTCTTTGAGTGGGAAGGAAGACTACATGTGACATCTTGTCACTTTAGGAGGGCAACAAATCAACAATGATGACACCAGAACACTGAGTTTGGCGTCCAAACATGAACTTGAAAATAGAAACTAGTTGTGTGTATAATTTATTAAATTCAACAATGTGCAAATTTGGGTGGCTAGGTACGTATAGTAGGAGATTAAAATGCACTACAAAATAATCATGGGATTGACACGGATTTGGCACGGATTTACCAATCCCCCGATGATTTCGTGCCAAATAGCTCGTGTCAAACTGTTTTTAGCACGGATTTGATATATCCCTGCCAATTTTGAGAAATCTCGGCCAAAAATTCTTGTCAATCCCGCGTTTTTTTGTAGTAATAGAGTGATATATACTATACCGTTCATCCAGTTCTTAGGAGGCTGAAAATGAAAAGAGGTCCTATAAGTTTGGTTGGGAAAAGCTGGCTGAAGAGCTTCAAGGTTTTGCAAGACAATGTGGGAACCTTGGACTTCAACAACTCCCAACACAAACATGAAGCAAAACATGCAAGGCAACAAGAATCCCATCTTCATCCTCAAGTATATATATGTTTAATCCGTTAATTAAAACAATAACTACGGATTAAGTGATGGATTAGAGTTAGCTAGCTCTGATCCTAGCTAAGTAAGTAATAGATGAGAAGGCATGAAGTTGGCGCCCTATTTATAGCGAGTCCATGCAAGTAAAGCCTGCCCCGGGGCCCAAGCAAATTGGAACTCACAACTTATCAACTTGATCTTTGATCATTATTACATCTCATTTTGACTTGTCAAGGTTTTCCGAATCCATGTCAACGTATATATATGTACTTGATTATTAGTATGTATACATATATTTTATTTAATGAAGCTTATATAATTTCATGTTTATGAAAAGGTACATTGAATTGTAAAAACTTTCATAAAAATTGCAGCATTATTTCATACTCCGCACTAGGTACGATTTTTGAAATAAAATTAATGTTCAAAAGTGAAAATGAAAAGATGCTAGTAGTAATGAATGGGAAGAGATGTTTGTAGTATTAAGGTAGGATAAATATACTACGAAGTAAGTGAATATAAAGATTGTTCTACTAAAATTATTATGGAGTACTATATAAAATTTATAAATAAAAATGTGACTAAGGGTATATTATAGGTATATTTTCATAGTCAGTAACATATACAATTAAATATGATTGTAGTCGCTGAAAAGAATTAAGTCACTTTTTTATACAGGATCTTATTTTATTCCTATATTAGGAATTATTTCAAATATAAAGGATATAGAGTATATATATCTTTACAAGTGCAATAATTTAAAATATGGAGTAAAAATTACGTAGTGTATATTACCTACATTAAGTAATTTTTTAGGTAAGATATCGTATTGGACTGAAAAATATAATTCGATTTCATTTTTACCAAAAGAGATTACAAGAGGAATATATAATGATTTTCCACATTCCCAAATATTGAAAATAGCATATCTTGCTTAGCCTAGATGGGTCCAGGACCGCTGGACCGGATCTCAGTGCAACTAATACTTACTCCGTACATACCAATAACAAAAATGCGAATATTGCTATTATTACAACTTCAATTGGAATGGCCAACTTAAAAAGACCAACTTGATAATAAAATTTCAAATGTCGTGTACAAATAAGTTCCGGGCAAACAACATTAAGAAGAATAATTTTAATGTTATCAATGAGATTGTGATAATGTATTTTTATATGGTTATATGTAATGGATGCAATTTTGCCATGATAGAATTACGTACATTAATAAGGAAAAGTGCCGGGTACTAGGCCGGAAAACTGATGTATATACTTTCATGTTTATAACTGCGGGTTATTGCAAGTGGCACAGCTAGGTAGGATGATACAGCAAGACATCATGTTGAGTGGTTATAGAGAACTTTTCAATATGTCAAAATATTTTATATGGAGTATAATCTTTTTAGAAAGCCGTTGGTCTGATGGGGATCAGCATCACCCTTTGATTCAGGGCTTAACGGTCCAACCTGTTGACACCACGATGTGGTACAGCCCCTCATGTCCATCCACTGCTCAATATTGAGGTTCGGCACTACCGTAGCGAACTGCGGGGATGCCCCACAGGAATCTACATTGACTTGGGGACTCTGCAGTCAAGCAGACCCGGTCCTGACATTTTATGGATCCGGGACAATACAGATAAAGTAGGTCATATGAACAACGTCTGAATGTTTATAATTATTTATAAAATAAAACTATACGTAAAATTAATTAGTACAATTTTTACTTGCAGTATAGAATTTTGAATAGTGAAAGAATTGAAAGTTATATCGTTTGTGGAGCAATATTTTCATATTTTAAATTATGTTTTCACTAGATCAAAACAAACTGTAAGTTTCTAAATTATGAATATTATAATTCAATTTTTCACTTACATGAGAGAATCAAAAGAAATTAGCAAAATGCTATCAATGAATCATGTAATTACATGAGAGAAGTAAATGGAAAGAATAACATTTATGTGTTAACCTTTAATGATTCCAAAGAAATGATGAAGTCTATTCGCATGTATGGATGTTTTCTTTTGGACTGAAATTTGTTGGTCTGGTCTGATCTGGTCTGGTCTTGTCTGTTTAAGTCTGGTCTGGTCTGAACTGGTCTGGCCTGGTTTGGTAAACGTCTGGTCTCTGTGTATTTTATAAGTATCCAAGTCTGGTCTGGTCTGGTCTGTTTAAGTTTGGTCTGGTCTGGTCTGGTCTGATCTGGGACTGAAAACAGTCTAAAAGAAAACATCCTAATTCTGGTGCGGAGGTTACAAAGTTTTAGACTTGTATCTTGTAGATGTTGTTGAATAAGGAATTAAAAGCATCAAAAAATTTATAAGTTGTATTCTATTTTATTTTAAATTTTTATAAATAATATATTGTGTATATATATATTTATTTAAAATACATATGTATATACGGAGTATATAATTGAGAAATTTATGGGCTCTAGGGGAGCAATGGGCCTTGGGTGCATGCCCCTTTGCCCATGCCCCAGCACCGGTCCTGTAGTCAAGGTATGGTTGCTATTTAATCACAGTACTCTGTAGTCGGGGTAAGAAAACCCAATGATGGATGACCCACTGGAAGTTTGTCAAAAGGAGTGAATCGATTAAGCAAAAGCATTTTTTAAATTTGTGGGTTTGACCGAGCTTAGTATGACCCCTAACTACACGTCTACACCCATGGCTATTGTATGCATGTGGTTAATTGGGTAGACGGCCGACCAATGAATTCTTGAAGAAGTTACAACTAAGAAATTCTTCATATATGCCTTAGATAATGGGAAAATGCATGAAGAAGAGTATGCATATTTTTTTCTCTAAATATTATAGAAGAAAATTAGTCCTTTTAAATTTATTTTCTTAAGGCTGGGACTCTTATATATATACTTTGAATGACTTTTATTTCTATATAAGTATTATTATTCTTAATTAACAGAACCAAAGAAGAATGACACGTACTACATGTAATAATAACAATAATAATAACACCAATAACAACAATACGTAATAAATTAATAATAATAATTAATGACGGTATATATAGATGTAGTGGAGATACGGCATGCGTTTATACCATCTGAAGTGGCAACTCAGAAGGGAATACTCTCCAAAAATAAAGCAACCACTGTGTTACTCACTTAGTCACCTCCATGCAGAGATAAACTTAGTGGTGCATCATGCATGGGTCACTGCACTCCTTTACTTTTTAAAAATTAAATTATAAACACCGTATATCATACTACGTATTTTCTTAATTTATACTCCCTCCGTTCCAAAAAAATCTTCTGAGTTAAGTATGAGTTAATTTATACAAACCCACAAATGCATGAGTTTGAGTTGGCACGGAGATTAAGAAAGTGGAATAAAGTGGAAATGTATGGTTGTGGTTGTGTAAGAAAAAAGTGAAATGAATGTGAACCACACAAATTGTCCAAATATGGTAAGTGGGAAGAATTTTTTAGGACGACCCAAAAAAGAAAGTGAGAAGAATTTTATGGGATGGAGGGAGTAACATTTTAATTAGATATTCAAATATTCGTAGCCTTGATTTTCAAATGCTTTCAACTGTTCCATTTTGATGTTTTATATTACCTCCGACCCGAAAATGTTCGCCATATTGATTTTTCTTGATCAATGATGACAAACTTTGGATAATGATTTTAATTACGGAGTATTATATTTGTAAACAATTTATTAATTTTATATACTTTTATGAAAATATTTTGAATAAGGAACGTTTTGATACAATTTTCATACTCTAATTAAATAATTTCGTATTAAAAAATAAACTTAGTCAAAGTGAATTGTCATTGACAAAAAAAAGTCAATTTGGTGAACCTTTTTGGAAAGGAAGGAATACTACACATTAAATTAATTAAATAGCTAGTATCCTATATATTTCAAGATATTCAGCTCCTCTACGAGCCGTATTTCAATAATTCAATGTTTACCATTTCGTTTATAATGACGATGGTTGATCCTAAAATACCTCTTTACGACTTTAATTTACTGATAATATATATCTAGTCTCCTCTTAATTCAAGGATCTAGAGTAACCGTCTATACTGTGTGTTAAGACTCGGGGTTCCATCCTAAAAGATCAACTCAAAATAATAGTAGCTAAAAAGTGATACTATGTATGTCAACTCAAAATGATACTAGACGATATATAAAAAACTCAAAATGATACTCCGTACTAATTTTAATAACATCTTTTTTATATATAAATTTGGTTTTGTACTTAATAAACTATATAATAATTAAACCTAAGATCCATATATATTAATTTAAAATAATTCATTTTAATGTAATTTCAATCACACCTTTTCGCACTTAGGATGTTTTTACTTGGACTGTAATTTGCCCCAGACCAGACCAGACCAGACCAGTCCAGACCAGACCAGACCAGTTCAGACCAGACCAGACCAGACCAGACTTGGATAGTTATAAAAATACAAAGAAACCAGACCTTACCAGACCAGACCAGACCAGTTCAGACCAGACCAGACCAGATCAGACCAGACCAGACCAGACCAGCAAATTACAGTCCAAGTAAAAACATCCTTAGTATTAAATCAGACTTGCTTATTTGTAACTTAAATTAGTTATAAACTTATAATTAAATATTTCATCTGTTTCTTAAAAATTTTATTTTATTTTTAATACATTGTGGATTTTTTAATTAATATTTCTTTCCTAAAAATTGTGTGATAACGTTACTGTAAAATTGCCCCCACTGACCGAATTTTCTGGATACGTCACTGTACACAAATGAATTAAAATGCACTTTGAAGAATACCTTTTGTGAGTATATTCTAAAGTAATACTCTCTTTGATAATGATAATAGCAAAAGATCAAAGAATAATTGCACCGTAAGTAAAAAAGCTAACGTCTTTATTTAGGTATAGCACATTCCACTGCAAAAAACAGGGCCGTAATCACGGATTCGGTCCGTGATTAGTTTGTCACGGACTAGTCACGGATTAAAAAACATAGTCACGGATTAGACCGTGACTAGCTAGGTCCGTGACTAAGATTTGTCACGGCTAAAGTCCGTGACTACAATCCTCCGGTAGCCCCAACTCCGTTTCCGGCGTGTCTTATTTTATTCCGGCATTTAGTCACAGACAAATTCGTGACTAAGTCCGTGACTAAAAAAAATTAATTTTCACCGCTCAGAGTTTATTTCGCACCGGTATTTTGTACGGATTAAATTAGTCACGGACAAATCCGTGACTACGTCCGTGACTAAAAAACGAATAGTATTATTCCCACGTGCAATTTACCCGGATTGGCTTAGTCACTAACAAATCCGTGACTAAGTCCATGACTAGGATTTTTATATATGCATGAGCAATTCATTCAACAGAACCACACCAATTCATTCACAGTATATAATACAGTATCTGTTTGAAAGATCGAAGGATGTAGTCTACCTTATGTCATTTTCCTATTTATGCAGA